GATGTCAAATTTTATTACAAACCTACAATAATCAAAACAGTATGGGTATTGACATAAAAACAAACACATGGATCAATGGAACAGAACAGAGAGCCCAGAAGTAAATGCACACATGCTCAGTTCATTTACAGCAAAGGAGCTAAGAATGCACAAAATGGGGATAGGATAGTCTCTTCAATAAATGGTATTGGGAAAACTGGACAGCCATATACAAAAGAATGAAATCAGACCTCTATCTTACATCATCCACCAAAATCAACTCAAAGACTTGAACCTAAGACTGAACCATAAAACATAGAAGAAAACATAGTGGGTAAGCTGTTTGACATTAATCTTGACCTTGATTTTTTTTGTATTTGACACCAAAGCAAAGGTAACAAAGGCAAGTATGAACAAATGGGACTATATCAAGCTACCGCTTTTCTGCACAGCAAAGGAAACCATCAACAAAATGAAAAGGCAACTGATGGAATGTAAGAAAATATGTGCAAACCACATATCCCCATAACGGTTTAATATCCAGATTATACAAGGAACTCATACATATCAATAGCAAAAACCCCAAATAACCCAAGTAAAAACTGAGCAAAGGATGTGAATAGACATTTTTCCAAAGAAGACATACAAATGGCGAACAGATACATGCAAAGGTGTTCAGCATCACTAACCATCAAGGAAATGCAAATCAAAACCACAGTGAAATATCTCATACTTTTTAATAAGACAAAAGATAAATGCTGATAAAAGTGTGGAGAAAAGGGAACTCTTATACTGTTGGTGGGCATATAAACTGGTTACAACTTCTGTGGAAGACAATTTGGAGATTCCTCAAGAAAGTAAAAATAGAGGCATCTTATCATCCAGCAATCCATATATAATTTCTGGGTGTGTGTCCAGAGAAATTGAAATCATCATCTTGAAGACTTATCTATACTTCTGTGTTCATTCCAGCATTATTTACAATATGTAAACAACCTAAGTGTTCATCAGTGGATGAATAAAGAAATTATATATGCACACACACACACACACATCATATACACAATGGAATATCATCCAATCTTAGAAGGAAATTCTGTCATTTGCAACAACATGGATAAACCTATAAGGCATTCTGCTAAATGAAATATACCAGACAGAGAATGGCAAAACTGCATGGTATCCCTTATATGTGGAATCTAAGAAAATAGTTGAACTCATAGAAACAAGAGAGTAGAAGAGTTGTTTCCAGAGGCTGAGAGGTGAGGGAAAAAGGGAGAAAATATGAAAAATTTAACAAAAAGACTACTGGAAGTAATAAGTGCATATAGCAAGGCTCAGGATACAAGATTAATATACAGAAGTCATATACTTTCTTATTGTAACAGCACAGCAAAGGAAACCATCAGGACCATTTACATTAACATCAAAAAAGAGAAATGGGTATAAAATTAGCAAATAAACAAGATCTATGTGAGTAAATTTGTAAAATTCTGATGAAAAGAAGTCAAAGAAAAAGATCTAAATAAATGGAAATACGTTCCATATTCATGTATAGGAAGACTTAAAATTTATCAAGATACCAGTTTTTCTCAAATGCATTTATAAATTCAATGCAACTTCAATCCAAATCCCCGCTGGTCATTTTGTGAATATTGACAAATTGATTCTGAAGTATGTATGAGGAGGCAAAACACCCAGAATAGCCAACACTATATTGAAGAAGAACAGTGTTAGAGGACTGTTAGTCCTGTTATTCTTCAACTTTCTTCAACTAGTCCTCTAACTAGCTACTTGTCAGTTAGACTAGTAACTTGTCAGTTAGAGGACTGACAGGACTAACAGTGCCTGACTTCAAGACTTAACTATAAAGCAACAGTGATCAAGACTATGTGCTATTGGCAAAAGAATAGATAATAGATCAAAGGAACAGAATAAGGGGCCCAGAAATAGACCCACACTAATATAGTCAACTGAATGTTAATAGCAAGTAAAGTAAATTTAATGGAGAAAGGAAAGTCTTTTTAGTAAATGGTGTTGGAACAACTGGACATCCACATGCAAAATGTGAAAATAGTCTAGACAGATTATTACACTTATTAGACTTTTACTTTTATTACAGATCTTACAGATCTTATTACAGATATTACTGTTCCCCAGAATTAATTCAAAATGGATCATAGACTTACATGTAGAACACAAAACTATAAAACTTATAGAATATGGGAAAAAGGAAAAATCTCGTTACATTGGGTATGGCTCTGACTTTTTGGATGCATCACCAAAACCATGATCCATCAAGGGAAATATTGCTAAGTTGGACTTTATTAATATGAAAAACTTGTTCTCTTAGAAAGACAATCATGAAGAGAATGCAAAGATGTGCCATAGGTAGGGAAAAAGTATTTGCAAAACAGAGTAATAAAGACTTATCCAAAATATACAAAGAATTGGTAAAACTCAACAATAAGAAAACAACCCAATTTAAAAACAGGCAAAAGATCTGAACAGACACCTCATTAAGGAATGGAGAGAGAATTGTAAATTAAAACTACAGTGAGATGCCACTGCACACTGTTACAATGGCTAAAATCCAAAACACTGACAACACCAAATGCTGGATCAGCAACAACTCTCATTCATTGTTGGTGCTAATGCAAAATGATAATGCTATTTTGGAAGACAGTTTATCAGTTTCTTTCAAGTCTGAACATAGATAGTCTTATCACACAATCCACCAGTCATGCTCTTTCATATTATCCAAGTGAGTTGAAAACTTAAGCCATACAAAACCTTACACATAAATGTTTAGAGCAGATGTGTTATAATTGGCCAAACTTGGAAACTACCAACATGTCCTCCTATAAGTGAACGGATAAACAAACTATGATACATTCAGACAATGGAGTATTATTCAGTGATGAAAAGGAAAGGACTATCAAGCTATGAAAAGACATGGAGGAAGTTTAAATGTACATTGCTAAGGAAAAGAAGTCAATCTGGAAATCTACATGCTGCAAGATTCCAGGTATATGACATTTTGGAAAAGGCAAAGTTATGGAGAAAGTAAAAAGGTCGGACATTGCCAGGATTTGGGGGATGAGCAAAGGAGGAACGAGTAGATAGAACTAAGTGGATTTGTAGGACAGGGAAGCTATTTCTAGGATACTATAATGGTGAATATATGACATTATACATTTGTCAGTACCCATAGAACTGTTTCACGCTAAGACCAAACCCCAATGCAAACTATAGATTTTAGTTAATAATAAAATATCAATGCTTGTTCATGAGTTGTAACAGATGTACCCGACTAATGAAGTTTTAATATAGGGTAAACAGTGGGAGGGGAATATGTGCGGCAGAATACGTGAATACTCTGTATTTTCTGCTCAGTTTTTCTTTAAGTCTTAATTTGTAAGAATAATGTCTATTAATGAAAAGAAAACTCAGTAAAATGGGAATTCAAGGACAGTATTAGATTATCATACAAGTAGGTAACTATCTAACCACAAAAATGCTTGTTGAAACATGGTTCTTATAAATATAGTCAGTGCCTATAATTATAGTATGTAAGTACATTGACAAATTATGCAGCCACTAAAATGATGAAAATGGAGAGGAAGATTGGAGTCAGAAATTTAGGAATTAGAATGTACAGGACACAGTGACTGAGTATAAAGGAAAGAATGAATCCAATATCTGTGTAGATCTCTGCCTTGGACTGAACTAGGCAGGTGACGAGTGGGGATTGTGATTCATCTAGTGTTGGAGTCACTGTGTTTAAATTTTCTATGGGTCATGATGCCCAGGAATAATCAGACTTAAAGGGTCTTTGGGCCACCTGGATGGCTCAGTTAGTTAAGCATCCGACTCTTGATTTTGGTTCAACTCCTGAAACTGAGCCCCATGTAGGACTCCGTGCTGAGTTGGGAGCCAGCTTAAGATTCTCTCTCTCACTCCCTCTGCCCACCTCACCTCCCTCCACTCGAGCTCTCACTCTCTAAGAAAAAGAATAAATATATACATAAAAAAGATATATGGGTCTTTAACAAGGGTAGGTTTGGATAGAGATAGTATAAGCTCTAGAAGTTGATGTAATCACCCAGTGAAATTGAGAGCATTACAGGCCAGAAAAGTAAAAGTAAAACCAGGAGAAAACTATGTTGTGAAAGTCAAAGGAAAATAGAGTTCTAGGAGAGGATTTAACAGAGTCCAAGTAAGATCAGACTGAAAAATAAATATTGTACGTTGTAGCATGAAGTTACGGGTTACTGTGGACCAAACCATGTTGACAGATGGTTAGCATTGGAATCTCAATTGCCCTGGTTCAGGTAGATCTGTTTGTCCTGAAAATATTTTTCTTGGAACGTAGTCCCATGATACTTCTCCTACAGCCTTTTATATGCTAGTGTACATCATGATTCTCTTAAATAGGATTTCTCAAACTTACTTGATCTTGGAACTCTTGTGCTGTTGTGTTAGCATTTTCCAGGTCTGGTGTTCCTTGGAACAAATTTCAGGAAACATCGGCATATACCAATCTGAATGTCCTTGATGGCAGAGACATGAGAGAGGTAGGATAGTAGCTAGTGGGAATATTTATAGCATGAAGCTGAAACTTCAGCATACTTACTTTAAGCAAAGTGAGGAGAGTGGGGGCTGTAGAGAGGTTATTATAGGAAGGGAGGTTCTTGGAGTCTTGGAAGGGATGAGCAGGAATAAGACCCCGAGAGTGAATATGGTTTTGAACAAATGTAGGAAAATAAAAAAGGATGCAGATAGTTGAGGGCAGTAAAGGTAGATTCTCTATTTGGTGAAGCAAAGCATTAGCTTTTCTTGCAGATACAGAATAGAAAAGTCTTTACTGTGCTTTTGAAAAAGAAAAATTGACGGAGACTGTGGTATTACTTAATATTCCCAATTCTGTTCCTTAGTGGATGTAACTGTTAATGTCTCCAAGTGGAAATTTTCAATTATATTGGAAGTATGAATGATTTTTAAAATTCTGTATTTCACAGGATGCCAGACATGCAGCTGAAGAAGAAATTTATACCAACTTAAACCAGAAGATCGATCAGTTTCTACAGCTGGCCGACTATGACTGGATGACTGGAGATTTGGGCAACAAAGCTAGTGATTACCTAGTAGACCTCATTGCCTTTCTACGAAGCACTTTTGCGGTATTCACACACCTTCCTGTAAGTGACAATTGCTCTTACATTGCCCATCATGTAGAAAAAAGTTTTCTTAAAAATCTAGTTTGGTGAAAGATGCTTTTTGGGCTTTAACTAACTGGGAAGCTCTTTAGGATATAAAAGCTGACGCTATAATTATCATGTCTTGTTGAGATCTAGAGACCTCGCCCATCATTTTCTCATTGACTTTTGCATTTTGTTTATTTTGAAAATGGTCTGTAATATTATGTCTGTTTCTGTTCCTCTTAACTTCACCTAAAGTAATTCATGCAAACGCATAGTGAATGCCACGGTAGAAGAAAAACTTAAGAGTTAGAATTCCAGGTATATATCTTCTAGTCCTAGAATATCCATTTAATTTTTTTAAAAGATTTTATTTATTTGTCAGAGAGAGAGAGAGAGAGAGAGAGTGAGTACAAGGAGGGGGAGTGGCAGGCAGAGGGAGAAGCAGGCTCCCCCCTGAGCAAGGAGCCTGACGTGGGCCTCAATCTCAGGACCCTAGGATCATGACCTAAGCCAAAGGCAGACGCTTAACAGACTAAGCCACTCAGGCAACCCTCCATTTAATTTTTTTTTTTTTAACCTCAAATTCTCTGGTGAAGTTCTCTATCTTTTTATCTAATTTGTCCATCTTTTCTCTATTTTCTTGAGCATATTAATTAGTCATTTTAAAGTTGTTTTTTCACTAATGGTGAAGCGTCATTCCCCTACATGTAGGTGGGATTGTTTCTGATTTTTTTTTTCTTAGTTATCAGTCATATGATCCTATCTTTTCCTATTATTTTTTGGCTGGTGTTAAACATTGCATTTAAAACACGTCGGGGTTCCAGGTGGTAACATCTCCCAGCAGAATTGGTTTATCCCTTCCATTAAGAAGTAGGTAGTATGGGCAGGTAGGTTGTGGTTTGAGCCTCATCGTCTTAATCCCATCGTGGGCTAACCTGGGGCAGGCCTGGGTTGCAGATGCAGTGTACCTTTGATTTGCCCCTGTTGCTAGGATGTGGTTCTTTAGAGCTGTTAATGAGAGCCTGGCACATTGTCATCTCTTTGGGACCAAGAGAACTATGGAACTTTCCACTTTTCATAAAAACCTTATCTCTTCAGCCTCCTTTTTAAATTTTACAGTTTGGCAAATGTCTTGAGAAGGAGGCTTACCCAGATCAGCCATTGCCTATAGGAAAGAAGTGGCTGGAGATTGTCAGTGTCAATTCACCACTCCCTCAAGATCTTTAGCTCCCACCAGAGAGCCTCATGAATCCTCCCATTAGGCAGTCTTTTTCTATGAAACACTAAGACTGTGGGAAATCTTACTTTGCTTTTCAGAGATTATGACTTAGACCCTTATTTTTCTCAGGTTTGTAGCTTTAGAATTCAGAAAATGTCTTGAGAAGGTAACTGGCCTTCAGAGCTCCAATTTTGGCACTCCAGCCCCATGGAAGCAACAATAATTCAGTGATTTTTTTTTTTCAGCCCAGGAGTCACTCTCTACTTGCACCTAACACAGATTCTTAGTCTCTTCCTATGTGTACATGGGGCAGATCCTTCCAGGGATGGCTGCAGAGGCTCAACTCACCTTGAAAAGGTCTGCCTTCTTTGCAGCTTTATTCCCTTTCTTCCTCATTGCTTCCTAACTGTCTGGTGTCTCTCCGTTTTTCACTGCCTCTTACACTGCTTGGAGGGAGCACTGGCCTGCAGAAAACTAGGTTATTTCATCTAGTTTTACCTTGACACCAAAGCAAGACAAAAGTAGCACAAAAGAGCAAACAAAGAACCAATAAATAAATTTTAGCAAGTCATTTCCTAAGTGTTTTAAGAAAATAATTTACCATTACCATGTAGGATTCATTCTAGAGATGCAAGGATGGTTTGATATTTAAAAATCTTTTGATCTAATTTATCACATTACCAGGTAGAAGAGATAAGGATCAGCTTTTTTTATTCTAAAAAGGCATGGCACGATATCCAGCCTGCACTCCAGATTTTTAAAAAAATTGCTAATATTCAAGCAATATAATATTTCAGTAACGTGATAAGGAGCATCTATGTGAAATTCAGCAACAGTGAAACACTGGGAACACTTTCTGCATTTACATCAAAAGTGTGGTGAAGATACTTACTAGAGCTTTAGAAGTTCTATGAAATACAGTTAAAAAATAATAAATGTTATCATTATTCATAGATTATTGCTATGTGGATGGGTAACCCCTCCCAAATCAACTAAAAAGTAATTAAGACCAGTAAGACTTTAGTTGGTTAGATTGTCCACTTAGAAAACAAATCAGCTTCTCTTATGTTAGCAATAACCTCATAGAAAATATATTGCCAAAAAAAAATACCCTATTCATTTTGGATTATAAAATCTCTGTAAATATACTTAACAAGTTATATGTAGGACTAATGTGCAGAACATGTCACAGAATAATTTAGAAGACACTTTATTATGTAGCATTTTAGGTGAGAATATTTAATACTGCAAATAATTTTTCCAAAATTAATCTAATTGCCATGAATAACAAGTGAATTTGATGGTGGTGGATTATTTTAACAGAATAATTCTAAGATTTATTTGCAGACAAAAATGGACAGTATTTGCCAAAAAATAAGAAAAAGTAAATTGAGTGTGGTCTTTTCCTATCAAGTATAGAAATATTACTATAAACCAAAAATAATCTTTTTTTCCTCCCTTTTCACACTGGAATAGATTGATAGATTAGAGAAAGAGAACATAAAATCTAGCAATAGTTCAAAGTACCTGTAAGAATTTCGTATATGATAAAGGTGGCATTAGCAATTGCTGTGGCCACTACTATCTGCTAATTTGGATAAAAAGATGTTTTCATATATCAAAATAAATTCTAGATCAAATACATGTTTACATTTTATTAAAAAAATTTTTTTAGATTTTATCTAAACTCAAGTTACTTAACATGTAGTGTATTATTAGTTTCAGGGGTAGAATTTAGTGATTTGTCAGTTACGTATAACAATTGGTGCTCATTACATCACGTGCCTTCCTTAATGCCCATCACCCAGTTACCCCGTCCTCCCACCCACATGTTTGCATTTTTAAAAAGAAAGAAGTTATGGGAGAGCCAATAAAAATATTAGCAAATATTTCTGTAATCTGAAAATAAGTCACCGTTATAAGGATGACACCAAAGAGTGAAATCATTAAGGAAAAGGTTAATAATTTGGCCACTTAAAATGTTTTGTAGGATACCTAACAATAGTTGATAAAGGAAATAAAATGTAAGCTTACTGCAAAATTGACAACTATGCCAAAAGGCTATTATCTCTAATATATAACAATATAACCCATTGTTTCAAACTCAATATGAAAACTGCACAACTTATTGGGAAAAATTGCAGATGTGGTATTTTAGGCAGTCAGAAAAGAAGAAAAATAAAAGACTAATGATAACATGAGCAAAATGTATAACTCTGGTAATAAGACATGCATATTAATATTGTGGGATATTCTTGACTATAAACTTGCCAAAAGTAAATAAGAAAATAACATTCAATATTTATGAGAAACATTTCCCCAAATAGGTATTCTGTTACATTGCTGGAAGGTGTGTAAATTGGCATATTCTTCTTGTGGTCAGTTTTTCAGAATGCCTCAAAAATCTCTTAAAATTTGTTTACCTTTGACCCTGCAATCTAGTCCCACTTTCAGAAATCTTACTTAATGAAATAATCATGGGTGTATCATATAATTCACATATAAGTGTGTTCAACATAGTATTGTCTTTTGTGTAGTGGAGTGGGGAATAGTTAAAAGCCAGTAACAGATGTGTTAGCTCAATAACTTATTATATATTCACATAATATGATCTCAGCCATTCATTAAATTAGTGGAGATGGATATTTATCAACTTAAAATATGTTAATTATTTCTTGATTGGAAAAGCAGATTGTAAAATAATTTTATACTCTGTGATGTCACTTTTGTTAATAGAGACACACACACACTAATCATCAATATAACATACACTAAAACTCTAGAATTATATACTCCCTAATTTAACTATACTAGTCTCAGTATAACTTTTATTTTTTTTTTCTTTTTGTTTATCTTTGTTTAAAAAAATGTTTTCTGTCATGAAACATTTGCTGCTTTTATAGTTCTGGGGGTAGTGGAAGGTGATATTTAGAATTACTATTCTCTGTTCTAAGAGTATTCTGTCCTTGATAACTAATGTATATTTTTAAAAAAAACACTTATTGAAGAAAGATTTCTACAAATGTGTTTCATTTTGTGGAAGGAAAATGGCTCATCATGTTTTGGTTGTAATGTTTCTCTGACCATTGTACAGTTCCTTGAATGAGTCAGATTTTGGAATTCATGGGAAATAAAATACAGTAGTTCAAATTTGAAGTTATCCTGGACAGGTGTTCCCTATATTCATCTTCCTTGTTTTTTTTCTGTTCGTAAAATATAAAAAGTGACACCATAGTAAGCGTGGCTGTTTATACATGTCAAATAATACATTGGTTCCTATATATACAATAGCTATCATATGTCCCCCCCGCCATAATTACTTTAATGTCCTGGCTATTTAGAAGCAGTACTTTTAATGAGACTCTTGTTTGTCTAACATGAAATATATGATTTTCCCACCAGTAGAGTTTTGACCTTTCTTGTAGGTCTATACTGTAAGTAATTTGTTGGGGATTTTTCCTTTTTTTTTTTTTTTTTTTTGGTCTACTTTGAGCTGCCTTTGCTACCTAAACACTATAACCTCTTGGTGTTGAACAGGTTGATCGTAGTATCCAGAATCAAACTCAGAGGTAACTCACAGCCCTAAATCCTCAGTATTGCTTCCACAAATGCCATGTTTCTGCATCGCCTAGTACAGAGAGTTTCTTGCTGAAGCCACTGTTTCAAAAAGCATTTATATTCACCAGCTGGTACTCTAGAACAAATTGGTATGGCTTCTGAAAACTGTACCTCCTTCTGGTTTTTACAGATAGCAAAAGAGACTGCCCAGCCTTTGTGT